GGAATTCATTTGTTTAGTCAATTACCAAAATTTGGATGATTTTGAATATTCACTTGAAAAGTTATCAAAGAAAAACATTTTTCATTTTGTAACTTCGAGGGCCCGTTACTTGGTAACGAAGGATTTTAGGAAAAAAAGTTATATGAAGTGCTGGTGATATTTTGACCCCATCTATACATTCCCGAGAGGTAAAGATGAAGTCCAGGGACACCCTGTATATTCTTTGAATATCAGTGAAACAACTTCAAAGCAGACATTGGAAAAGTTCAACATATATCGCGAAATCGAATTATTAATATCAATTTCAATTCTCCGAAGATGCTCCGCATGGATAAAAGAGTCTTCATATCTATATGCTCTGGAATGTGTACTGGAGATTTCAATAGACGGGTAGAACAGATTTCAGAAAGTAATCTAAACTGGATCGTTCATGAATATTTTGAACAAACAACAAACATATATTGAGATTTTCATGCAAGTGAATTTTGAATAAACAGATTTTCAGATTAATATCTTATAACTCACCGATCATTCTGCACAAATTGAAATCCACTCAACAAGTTCAAAATATATCAAATATTTCTGGATATATGCTTGAAATAAACAATGAAACCAGTCACAACAGAGTCTAGTATAAACCGCTCGAAGTCACTATTGTAGAGAACTAAGTACAGAAAAGTCTATAATATGTATTTCAAATATTGTAAACCCATTGTTTTGTTCAAATGTAGAGGTTAACAAGCACCACAGCTATACACTCACGGACTGAAAAGCCGATGTACTTTAACAAAAGTTTTCTCCTGACGTATTGAAGAATTCACTGCCAACTTCAACATAATACGTTTTACCAAGCACGGTGTACCGTAAGCGTGGTTAACGTGGAGCGGAAGATAATTTTGAGCCCCCTGATATAAAATTTGTAGAAAATTGAAAATCGCCAAAAGAATTGGTATAATACGGATATGACATATCAAAAATTGCATGTCAAAACTGCTGCACAAGTCTACTATATCGAAGGGAAGAAAATAAAAATTGATGATGATATTTTTGAACAGAATTATGATCACAATGAAATGATCCTCAGTGAACATTCTGATTGATTCGGACTATGATATGAGTGTCACTATACCGATAATGAGCAGATTGTTTGATACATTGAATTGTAACACAAATTGCAACCGACAGTTCATCTTGGGTTAGTCATTGAATCACCGTTGATGTGAATTAGAAATGAATCTCTACTCTGAGACTTGGGATGGTTCGCACCAGAAATCGCTTTAGCTCAATAAGTTTTGACGATTGAGGTTTGAGCTGAACTGAACTGAAAAGTTCATTTCCAGCCATTATTCATGAGATACAAAACAGTTCAACGGTAAGTAGTTTGTATGCTTTCAAAATATTGGGATATTATCGTTTTTTCGCAAATTATAGTAACAATCCTGACAAACAGTTTGGTTTTGAAGAATACACGTCAACAGAAGATGCAATGCTAGCCCTAACCACGAAACTAAATAATGCTTTGAATGGGAACAAGTCTTGTCTATGTAGTTTCATAGACCTATCAAAAGTATTCGACACTGTAAGTCACGTCCTACTTCTGAAAACATTAGAAGACATTGGTATCAGAAATGAAAACCTGATATTATTTGAATGCTTTATCACAAATAGACGGCAGATCGTTAAGGTAGACAATGTTCTCACTCAGGAAAAAACTATTGAATATGGTGTGTCTCAAGGTAGTGTTCTGGAACTTTTTTTGTTCAATATGTATTTATACATATTGTAACCATTGATAGTGATTTGAAATGGAAGAATCACATTCTGCATGCCATTAAAAAACTACAGAGTAGCCTTTATAAATTCAGATACCTCAATCAATTTTGTTATTCAAGCATATGAAAACACTATNTGTCATTTCCATATATATTTTTTAAGTGTGATGCATTTTTTTCGTATGTTCTTGTATTGGATTGAGTATATATTTTTTTATGTAGTTAAGTATAATAATTTTATCTCGAAACAAGTATACAGCCAGTTGTATTTGCTGTATACTTCATCTCTTTTCATTAGTAAATAATATTATTACTTTTTTTATCACCGAAGTGTGCGCTGGTCAGGCCCTATCCCCCGAAGGTCCGATACATTCAGGAGGGCACTCCAACGACCACTCCCCACGCCGTGGGGTGAGTGATCATTGGGTCCAAGAATCATGTGCCCTGAGCACTGAGTCAAGAAAGACATTAGTATTACTTATTATTATTATTACTCCATAGGCATCGCTATTTCAAACTTCGTTGCAACCAGTGCAATTTTTGTGGCGTCTAAACAATGTAATCACAAAAGCCTTTGACTTTTCAATTTTTCACATCATTTTTAAACGTTGCGGGCAGAATGAAACTTAAATTCTCAATTGATCACTGAAATCAAAATAAAATTGATAGGTATCACAAAATTCATGAACTGAACTTGAGTCACTTAATTGAATCTTGCTCAGTCTGTCTCCCAAACGCAGCAGCGTCTAGTTAGACAAAACTGTTTTCCTCTTCTCACCTGGCTGGTAAAGTCAACTGGAATCAGTCAGCTTTGTCTACCTGTTGAACAAGCAATACAGGTATCTTGTATCAATTGTTTTCAAAATGTCGTAGTTAAGTTGTTGTATTATTCATTGTGTTCAATAACGGGCCTATTTTCTGAAAACCACGATGATTTCGAGCGATTATCTATTGGAATTGTGCAATGTGTTCTATTCAGGACAGGTAAACATTGAACTTTACATACGAGTATTTATTTTTCGGTAGCAATTTACCTTAGCACTCGTCGTTGATGCTTTTCGACCATAAATTAGTTCAGGATGAAGTGAATAATTCTTTTACAATTCAGCACTTTTTGCATTCATTAACTGACAAAATATGAAATTATTTTCATTCATTTGAATATTTAATTGATGATACTACATCATCTCATTCTGTCCATACCTAAATAAAAAAGTCTTCAATTTGGAGTATTGCGTCAAAACTATTTCACGGATATGTTATCCGTGATCTGCAGGTATTTATGTCGGACGTTTCGTCTACGTCTGTGGTATACATTATAGAAGGCGATTCAATGTGCAATCATGTTGAGACTCATAAAATTCTGAATATAATAACCTCGGCTAACTTTGAGCCTATCAGTCAATTGAAACTGTGATAGCATTTTCTCGATTACGCAGTTCATATATTGGTTTGGACAATATTTTCAAGTAAATCAGTTACAAAATGTTATAAAACTGATATTCACATAACACGTTCAAAAATAACCAAAACAACAAAAAATAACATTGATGTATATTTGTAATGGATATTATTCCTTTTTATAATTGTATATACTTTATTGTCCAAAGATAAAATCGTGTTGACAAAGTTGGTGAATAAATATAAAAGAATACATAAATGTCCTGTGAATATAAAAATATAGATAAAATATATTGAAAATTCAAGTATAAAAACACTGAATAACATCCCTGTGGTAGACCAGTATTTATTTCAATACTGTTCGAACATTATAACTATTATAACTATACATCGTTTTCACAATTTGACTGCGACCATTGAGATACGACTCAAACCACAGTAGTGTTATCCCTCTACATCCATAAATATTCATCTTTCGTAGCAGTATTTCATGATCAACGCTGTTAAACGCTTTTGTAAGGTCACCAAATACTGCTGCAGCAGCATCTTCATCATTCATATTGGAATGCACCTCAAACAGGAAAGAGAATATTGCATCATGTGTGCTCTTGTTGCTCTGGAATCCAAATTGATTTTTCCCTATAATGTTATGGCGAAGGAGAAATTCATTGAGTCTTTTCTTAACTAGTTTTTCAATTATTTTTGCAATAGTAGGAATGAGAGAAATTGGTCGTTGATCATCTACAGAGTTACCTTTATATAAAGGAATCACTATCGCACAATTTTAGAAAGGATGGAAACCTTTTATTTTCGAATAAAAGATTGATTAGTGATACAAGAGTTCTTTCTGAGAGCTTCTATCGGAAGATTTTCAATAATTTTGTTTGGAATTTCATCATAACCAGATGTGGACTTATTCCTTATATCACCAAAAACTTCAAACAGTTCATCAATATTCGTATCATCTAATTGAAGAAATTCATTGATTACAACATAGTCTAAATTAAGGAAGTGCATGGATTGCGTTTTCTATATTGACTATAATCTGATCTAAAATGTTATGTCTTTCTGAAACAAGTAACAGATTTCTGAATCTACTATAGGGTGATATTTGCTTTAATGCAAGGCATAAAAGTCTGTTGTTACCGATATTAGTAGTGCTAAACAAAATTATTACGTAATCTTCATATCTGTAATGCAGTGTATCGTTAAACATTTCACTTGTGAAATATGAAAGTTCCATTTCTGGTTTCAGAATTTCTGTTATTTGGTAATTGGCATTTTTAGTTTTTTTTTCTCAAAGCAAAAAAAAATTTGTTGCATACTGATCTCCTATGGCTAATATTTCCTTATTGTTAGTAGGCATTTCCAAGTCACTTTCAATAATTGAATTCGTGAAAGAGACTCTTGATATCTCCTCAAAACCAAGTTGACATTACCCAAATCCTTGAGAGTTGATTCTTCATCCACATATTCAACTTCTGCTTCAGTATTTGCTGTTACTGGCTTGATTTCATGAATTATTTATACATCGTGTGAATTCAGTTATAAAGGAGAGCGATTTATCGCAAGTAAATAATCATGAAAATTACCGAAATTTTCAAACCCACAAAAATCCACAAAAATAATATATATGTATGAATTCAAATAAATTTTTCAATCAAACAATCGGACAAATTTTCCATTCTCAAGTCAATTGAGATCCAACAAATATTCCATTCTCAAATTAATTGAGTATTTCCATATTTCGTAGTTATACTATTTGTAATATCTTCATAGTTGCTCTTTCTGCCATCCTTGAAGCGTTGCCATATTTTCCCAATTTTCTATCGTTTTATATTTTTATATGGCTCACAGGGGAATTTTAAAAGCCCAGGATTTGGTTTTCTAGCAATAAATTAATCTGCAATGATAAAAAAGCATCCTTCTTAAGATTTAGTTATGCCCCAAATGGTCATGATCACAGTTTACTGTTAAAATCACAGCACGGTTTAATGAAACAGGTGAATTCAATAAAGTTTCTGGGACTCACTCTCACTGAACATAATAATGAAATATTTAAAAAAATAACGCCTATGTGTTACTGTATCTATCAACCCAGTAAAATTATAGATAAGTCCGTGTTAGTCATGTACTATCATGCCCAATTACACTCAACAATCTCATATAGTATAGTAGCTTGGGGCCTATCACGTGAGTCACAAAGGGTATTTATTTTACAGAAGAGACCTGTCACAAACATTCAGAGTGTAAACCGACGTACTAGCTGCAGAGATCTATTCAAAGTTTTGAGAATATTAACTCTCCCATGCATTTATATGTACCAGCTGTTGATTTTTGTAAAATCGAATCAGCGACCTTTTACCTTCTTAAACAAAAATAATTACGGCACAAGAAATTCAACATTGTTAGAAATACCAAATCATAGACTGGCTAGATCATCATTATTTTATTTAGTTTGGCAAGATTCACTGTGATCTCGTGAGGAAAAATATTTCGAAATACAAATAGATGCGAAAAAATTTGTAATAAAGTAATGCTTTCGCGGTTCTTTGAATTCCAAACACGCGAGTGTTCATGTCACTGTTCATTTTGAAATACTATATTTTTCAGTGAGTTGAAAACATATTTGGTAACTGTGTTTTTCTCAGGTGGAATCCGGCTCCTGTATTCAAAGAGTAGCGGGAAGTATAAAAACTGGAATTATTCTCAAGGATGTCTCTATGGCAGTGCATTCTGGAGAAGTTATGGCAGTATTGGGGTCAAAAGGTGAATATATTCTGTTTTATTTTCATCAAAATAAGATTCTGTATGTCATGAAATGTATTTTTCACATTATCCCAAACCTGAGTGGATTATAAATAAAAAATAGTATTTTGAAAATAAATCTGCCTAGATTGTGAAGCTGAAATCATTTCCTCTTCAGGTAATGTACTCTCTACCGTATTTTTATGATACGTTGGAATATTACAAAAAAAGTAATTCATGGTAAAGAGGTATTTGAATTATTCATGAATCGCTGCAAATGACGCTGGAAGTCGCTTTGAATGAATATATTGTGCATGAAGTAATGATATCGTGACGTTCTCTGAATTTGATTTATGAGTATTTATTTTTCTCACTAACATTTTGATGTATGAAAAAATACTTGATCTGAGAAAAGTTTTTGCTTCTTCGTCAAAGACGACTCGTTTTTTTAAACCTGAAATTATTCTCCAAATCCATGATCAACAAGCAAAGATCAATCCCATCACATCTTTTGATACATCAATTCTTGGACACGCTGTATATTTAGTTATTGATCTAAGATGACGGAATTCCTCATTTGATCTACATAAATCGCTTTCAATCTATCTATATACTTCATTCCCTCTCCCCTATTTTCTGTATGTTAAGTTTTTATATACAGCGTGACTCACGGTCGATGGTAGGTTAGACGTTTCTGGAAAACGCAAAGCATGATTTTTCTGAAAATCAAACCTCTCACATTTCCTTACCTGTTCTATCGATCTAAAATATTTTCAGCATTGCGGCGTTGCCACTTCCATCAAAAAGTCCTAGCAACTTTATTTTTTTAAATGGAACACCCTATATATTAATACATTTTTGGAATCGCTCTGATATTTTAATACTGTTTTATCGATAATGTCCTATACCTATCTCTATCTGTTTCCGAGATAAAAAATAAATTGTCCTAAATATGGTCCAAAACATAGCCTTAATTGAAATTAAGTACATCAGTACTCTCAATTTTAGAAAAGTTAATATTCTGATGATAGTTTGGACAAACTCAAAGTATTCAAATAACACCAAAAATCGACTCCATATCATACAGGGCATGCTAAAATTACTATTATTTCCATTGTGCATAAAAGTAGTCAAAAGTTCATTTTTTCAAATGAAACCCCCTGTAAATTACTCGGTAAATTGAAAGATGGTAAAAAATGTTTCAAGATAATATATCATGTCCCTATACCTAAATTGTCAAGTTTTCTCAATAAAGTCGCTTCTTCTAGAAACATTTTTTTTTTAGAATTTCGATTTAGGTAGCTGTGGAATTATCAAGCTTATAGCTAACTAACAAATTCAGAAAAATATGAAGGTGATTAGTTATTCAGAATTTTATATATAAATGTAATAGTTAAGTAATACAACCGTAAACCACAACCGTAGGGCTGAATAAACTGCCTCATCACTTTAAATAACTGCAGCAAATTCCAACCAAGTCGGCGTAACGATATTTATGATATTTTATAAACACTGTTTTTTGAACAACGCCCTGTATCTCAGAAACGAAGCGACTTCGGACATATTTTCATCGAAACTTTATATTTTTGAACGACCTGACGACTCATCCACTGAAGTTTCCTACAGAAGTTAGGAAACACCCTGTGTTTACACAACTCGATAACAATTTTCTCACATACTTATTTTCGAAAAGTGACGCTGAATTGGTAAAAGGTCAATTTTATCAACATTGTCATTGTCAAATTTCAGGAAGCGGTAAGAAGGCTCTACTGGATGTGATTTCACGACGAGCTCAAGGACCAGTCAGAGGACAAATCCTTCTGAACAATCATCCAATGAGTTTATGCTTATTTCAACAGAGATGTGCTTATGTTACACATAAATGCGATTTCATTCCTGGTTTGACAGTGGAACAAACGATATATTATACACCAACAAAAGTGAGTGCAACTAATTTCAATTTATATTATTTTTCATCAATTTGTTTCGTCACCCATTTGATAGTGTATGGTGTAACACATGAGTGCCCAACCCATGTATCACATAAGTCTGAATTGATCTGAAAATAGGATTAAAATCATCAATTATCGTTTCGAGAACATAAAGGAAATATGGAAGTAATATATTCGCGATACGATATAAACTACCTAGTGGTAACAATAAATAAACACGTACGCTGGGATCGTCACAAAATTTTCATAACAAAAGTATTAAGATGCTCAATGTATAGATTCAGAAAACATACTCATCTGAAAATACCACTCAGTTGGGATAGATCAATCAAAATTCATTAAATCCCTTAGATGTCCTACAAAAATTCGGAAGAGATATGGATAAGAGGCAATTATCTCAAGAATAGGCAGCAAAAAGTTATTCTCGAAGACAAGAGCTCTGAATATTTGAAACTCAAGTCAAGTGTTCAGCAGGGATCTATACTGGGGCCTCTTCTGTTTACTATATACTCCTCTCATCTGGTGACTGGAATAAAAGCCTGCAATATTCATTTATTTGCTGACTTTACTATAGTGTCCTTCCACATATGGCGGATGATGCATGCAATCTTATTAATAATGATCTTGGGGCATTCGCAAAAGCTGCCCACTTATTAATCCTGAAAAATCAAAAGTTTTGTTTGGAAGTAGACTTCAGCGTAAGAAAGTGAAGGACTCTTATCAATATTAAGGTAAGTAATAAGAAGCTGGAAATTGTTAAGGAAGCAACAAACCTAGGAGTAATTATGGACCCCGACTTCAGATTTGAAAAACATATAAATAGACAATTACAACAGGCGTACTGTAATTCGAAAATGATATATAATAATAGACATTTGTTACCCATTGAAGTTGAAAAATCATAATGTCAAACGCTAGTTTTATCGGCTTTAAATTATGCTGACTCTCTCTACGGCCCTAATTTTACAACACTCAATAAGATAAAGACATAGAAACTGCAAAACTCATGTCTGAGATTAATCTACAGTATCAGAAGACGACATAAATAAAATTGAAATAAATCGGGTGGTTGAAAATGGATAATAGAAGAAAACATAATGCTGTTGTTCTCTACAACAAAATAATTAAAAAACAAGTTTCCTCTTACTTACCGTACATATGTACATAATCTGAATATTCGAAATAAAGGCCTACTGACTGTACTTCCCTTTAGAATATTTTTGACGGTTATTTGGCTACCAAATCTATTCTCTGTGCAATCCGGTTCTGCATATTATAAGAACACAAAATGCTCACAAATTCAGACAATTTCACAAAGAACATCTTCTTGAATCTCCAATTTATAAAAATGATTTTTTGTTCTTATTCAGTTTTTAGCCAAGTTTGTTTTCTTTGTATCATTTGTTTGTTAGGGTTTGTTAGGGTTAAGTGGAAGAATATTTTTTGTCGTGTTTATACAACGGAAAGTAAACTTCGCCTTTTATTTCCATATATGAACCTTGCTTTCTAATATTTATTGTATTCTTTTGAATGTGGAAATAATAAAGACGATTATTATCATCAATATAATTATTATTATACAGGACACGATTCGAATAACTAAGTTAATTACCATTTCAAATCATTCAATCTAGAATGTTTCAACGTAGTTATAATGGTTTATAATGTTTCAATATAGCTATAAGCTTTAATTTAATAAGCTTATAGCTAGTAATGTCCATTGTTATGTGTATTTTGAGTTCATTTATAAACATTATTATTATTCTCATTCAATCAATGATGCATATTTCAGTAAGAGTTTTGAAGAAAAGTTACTCATCTTACCGTCACACTGGCATATGTCTGTCACACATACTAGAATTATCAGCAACCAAATAATCATAATATAGGATATGAAATTTTGTGCAAATAACTTATTTTTTGCAGTTATTTTTTAAAAACGAACAAAAACTTATTTCAATGTACTTATGTTACACCCCGTATATCAATAAGCTGAAATGAGTCGGAAAATTGAAATTTGGGAAAAAAAATTACAGTATCTATGTTTTGAATCAACCTCATATCTGCTTGGTATTACTATCCAGTTGGAAAAATCAAAGCTATTGCTTTATATGATTAGCACATGAATTTCAGTGATAGAAAAGAATAGAATAGGATAGAAGTTTATTTAACCACGTTACACTTTACATGTTTCTAGCAAGTCATGACAAATTTGTTACATATGCTTACGCACAACAAAAGTAATTTCAGATCGGATGAGTATAAAATATAATTCAAGATAAAAAGTAGAGCAACATAAAGATTAACATTAAAAACATGAAAGAACAACATGATATAGCATATTCACGTTAGTCAGATGAGTATGTTGCTTATATGTTGAGACTTGGGAGCGATTTTCAAAATACCCCAGGTAATCAGAGACAGAGTAAAAGCAGCCCTCCAATAGTAGTTGTTTAATGGATTGTTTGAATTTATTCATACTAAGATCTTTCAGCTTGACTGGTAAACAGTTATATAAGTTTTTGATATTGTGTTTATTGATTTGAAACATCAATTGAATCAAAATGAGTACATCTGTTGAATAATGGTTTTATTTGTTCTGATTTCATAAGGAGTTAAAAGGATACGGTATATTCTCTGTTGCAGTTTTCTGGTTATTTGAAACGATCCAAAGTGAAACAGGTTATGGCTGATCTGGCGCTGTCCCATGTAGCTAACAGATGCATAGAAGATTTGACAAAAAGTGAATATAGAAGGCTCATGATTGGTGTGCAACTGATAAAAGACCCAGGTATGACATTTTGTATCAGTATCAGTATCAAAACCTCCCATAATTCGACCAAAAGTAACTTCCGAAGGTGCTATCCAGTTATTGATGGAAAAACTGCTATTATCAGGTTTCGATAATCAGCTTGATGTTTTTCATTACTTAGAAAACATTGAAACACTGAATCATTTCTACCAATCTCATTTGCAGATTTACAGAGCCTCAACTCGTTCAGTTACACTATTATAATTATGTCAATTTCAATAACTTCTTCCAATTGTCAAATAGAACAACAAACTTTGTTTTAAAGCTAGAAAAATATGCTAAAAAGAATTTTTGACTCAATCATGTATGTATATAGAATTCATCAAGTTGACACAAATCACTGATGACAATCGGAATATTGAATATTACTGAAGTTCTTTCCCAACACCAAACCGTTATTTCAGCACCTCGACACGTGTTTCGATCACCAAGTGATCATCTTCAAGAGGTACATCAAACTGGTTGGATCTTCTTCTTGAAGATGGTAGGTTAAACTGGTTTGATCTTCCTCTTGAAGATGATCACTTGATGATCTCCCAATTTTAACCCACTACTTCAACGGTCCGATCGCTACCGTTCCCATTAACCGACTTTTTAGTACTTCCAAGTCCGAAAAACTGTCCCTAACACTCCTCCCTTTCACCGTCCCTTGATTGCTCTGATCTTTGTTTAATATTCCCGAATTTTTCCATAACCCTTCCTACTGAAGACCTATATCTTCTTTTCATTGAAGTCATTGGTCAGTTTTTATAAATACATTTTCGGATCCACCTATTCAGATATAGCCGAACTTCCTGAAATGCAAACTTTTTCACGTTCCCAGTATTATCACTTATCAACAGGATTCGTTCGTTCAGTCTACTTTGAAGGAAACATAATGATGCCGTCAAGGTTCAACAATCATAACTTAAATTCAACGCTTACTCTGTTGGACAAATATCAATATCGAAAAACCGAGTGACCTACCGCGATCTTTATGAATGAAATGATATTTTTTGTTAACTATCACAATGTCAGTTATTACCCAATGGAAAGTGGTAAGTAAAGTAGAAAAACAACTTCGAAATGAATTTGAATATGAGTGGTTATCCAAATACATCAATTCGTACTGCTGCACCAGATGGAGCATTTCTAAAGTGTCTGAAGTGCAAAAAATCTTCACAAATTGTTGCATATGAAATATTAGAGCTGCCAAAACAGCCCGGAAAGTTAAGCAGACATTGGGCAATAATATTGTTGATAACCACAATGTTCTACGTTAGTTTGGATTCCTGAGATTCGAGATTCGAATATGAGTCACGATGTGATTGACCTACAATAATCCAGGGCGAGGATATAAGGAACCTAGTGGAGGACCTATCACAAACGATGCGTGGGATAGTGGAATATTTGGGCGTCGGTTTTTATGGCTTGAAATGTATTGGAAAGTTCAAAAATCCTGAAAAGTTGGTGCTTCATGACTTGAACGATCGACAGATTTTCTTACATTTTGGGGACTATTCTTCTTTACTTTTGCCCAACCGAAACGGGACTTCCTTGGATAGGATCGTGGCGTATGACGAAAAGCGGATCCATCGACAGAAGAAGACGTTCAAGACAGTAGTTCAACATCAATGAGTCACCAATGCATTTTCGATACCTAAGCGAAAACCCACCAAAAAAACCATGGTTACTGTATGGTGGTCAGATACTGCTGTGATGCACTACAACTTCCTGAAACCGGGCCAGACTATCACAGCGGAGTTCTATTGTGGGCAAATCGATGAAATGTACTGAAAATTGCATCAGCAGCAGCCGGAACTGGTCAACAAAGTGGTCCCATCCTGCTTCAGGACAACTCCTGTCGTCATGTTCCATAAATCACCGTCCGAAAATCACGGAAAATCAAACGAAACGAGAGTCAAAGTTCTGCGCCATCCACCATTCTCCCTAGACCTCTCGTCAACCGAAAACCATCTTTCCGAGCACTTCGATAACTTTCTCACTGATAAAACCTTCGTCAACCAGGCCCTGGCAAATACGGCTTCCTTCGACTCCATCAAATCCTGAGCACCCAATGTTCATGCTGACGGAATAAAACAACTTGTGTTACGTTAGCAAAAAACAGTGATTCAAATGGCGCCCATTTCGATTGAATTGAGTGGATACTCATTGATATATTACAGTTCAAAGTGGACTTATGAAACCGAGCAAAACTTTGAAACAACAATTTTCCATCGATG